CAAATCCCACTAACACACACGCACGTACACACACACACACACACACACACACACACACACACACACACACACACACTCATGTACACTATCCAGTTCCACACAGGCTCAATAAAAATAACGCGTCGAGTCGCAAATCATCAGAAAAAAAAAGCAACACAAGTTGATGAAACATATGTTGCAAACGCACACAAAAGGTATACACACCTCTGTTCACTATCCAGCCTGCCAGATAACACACACATCATGGTGGAGGTTCACTACTCATAAATCAAAAGATATAATTACATTTAAACAAGCTGGTGTTGCAGGTTTGACACACACACGCACACAGAGGTGCAGACAAAGGTACTCACGCATTTTTGGAATATTCCTCGCTTTCCTCCAGGTGTTCCACTATTTGGAAAGATTTCCTCCTACATGAGCACACTTGTCCCGAGAGAGGCAAACATTATTATAACACTTTTTTTTTTTTAACGGTCAGGGGTGGTTGTTAAAAAGCCATTATTGACTCAAACAAAAGCTCCGACATGGAAAGCCTTTTAGAGTCCAACCTCGGGAGAATGGAGTGTAAGTGGGAAGTGTATGGAACTGACCGGGATATGAATATAAACATGAAGCCACTGTGTGTTCGCTACAGGTGACAATTACCCCATGCAGTTCATTCCTTCCACAATGGCGGCAGCGTCCGGGCTCAGTCCACTTCAGCTGCAGGTGACACACCACACGGTCACACATAGACAGTACGCAGTGTTTAACTCATGTATCAGGCCAGCAGAATATCCGGGGTCACTTTAATGCCGACACGTTCTAATGAAGTGAGATATTGACATTTTCGCTTGAACATAAAGATGAACTAGTTATAATAAGCACAAATAAAACTATTTGGGGAATTGTGCATTCTTGTATTAACCGATACTAATAATAAGGATAAGAAAACCTTTATTCGTCTCACAATGGAGAAATTCCCAATCTACAGCAGCAAAGTTATGAAAGGAAGAAAGTAGAAGAACAAAAAGTAGAGGGGCTCCTGTCAAGGCAGCCACTCTCGCGGCGCCATCTTGAAGTCAGAATAACATAATAACAAAATAATACAACACAACATATAAGACACAGACAGTCATTCAATCTTAACCACTTTTCTGCATACTATTTGTTGTTTGAAGCAGTTATAGATGAAAGAGGAGAGGATGATAAGAATTAAAGCCTCCAAGAACAGGTATGCTAATTTAAAACCCGCAAACAGTACGCTTAGTGCCCAGAATAACAATACAAGCTCCCCAAAAGGTAATTTATCCACCAGAATAGTAATGAGAATAAAAAAAATAATAATAATAATAATTAAAGTCTACAAAAAGGAGCTTAGTTGCCAGAATGAATGTAATAACTACAGCTTTCCCTCCCCGTAAAACAGAATATGAAATTACGGGCTGGGAACATAAGAAGTAAAGGCCCCCAAAATGCCAATTGATTTGCCAAAATGATGATAATAATAATAACAAAATAAATCCCCCACCCAGAAGGAGAACCCTTTTGCAAAAATAGGAAGAATTAAAGCCTTTAAAAGGATGACTTAGTTGACAGAAAAAAATAAAGACTTCCAACTTTGTGTCCACAAACAGGATATGAGTCGCCAGAATAATCGTAAAAATTCACGCCTCGCAAAACGAAAATCATTTCCCGAAAAAAAGTCAAAATCCAAATTTATTTCTCGAAAAATAATTGAAGCTCAGGCTGCTGTAGAAATGACAGTTTTGCTTGGGCGCCTTTTCATTCAAGGAACCGCTAAAATTGCTGTTTGAATACATTGGTGTTAATGTTGATGCTAATCAGCGATGGCATGGCGTACACGCATTTTTTTCTGCTCCAAAAAAATGCTTGGCAGTTGAAAGAGGAGAAAAAAAATGGTTAACTGCCTTGACCTCGACATCACATAAAGGCCGGTTTATTATTATTGAATAAGCGCCATTCTCTGTTCTTTACATCCTCAATGAAAGAAAGGGCATAAAAAGCAAACAAAAGCAGCCTCTCAGAAAATTACAACATTCCCGCAACATAACAAGTGTCTAAAGACGACGCGTTTAAGGCGCTGTCTCCATGTAGATAAAGAAACATTGACCCGGTAAACAAAAACTACTTGGCACAAGCGCAGCTCTGAGTTCAAGTGGTGCAATAGAGTATTTCCTAAAAAACAAAACAAAACAAAAAAAAAATTTGAAAAGACACTCTTATTGGGCCCGTTATCCATTGCTTGACATAATAACTATCCGGCGTCTACCCGCTACATGAAACCACTCAACCGAGTGCCAGGTCAAGGCTAACTGGCTTCATGTCGAGGAAAGAAAGATGGGCTGAAAAAAAGTGTTTACCGCCTCATGGCTGTTTCTGCCATCTTTCGCGTTGTCCTTTGAAGTCCGTGTTGCTCAACATCCAGTAAAGGAGGACCCTGATAAGACAGGAAGAAGAAAAACATATGCGAAGACAAGAAGAGTAGTGCTGTCAGTGTTTGTGAGTAATTACATGGGGGCTACTGGCTGGGTTTTCGGGGAATGGGTGGTCTGCATCCAGAGGGTCCTAAATAGGTGTGCGTTTTCGCCAGTGTCGTTTGCAAAACAAGAGTTAAATGCCAGGATTAAAATAAGAGTTAAAGCTAGCCAAAAATATGTCTTGATTCAGGAATAGTAACATCAACGAATCATCAATCATCATCATTAGAAGAAGATGAACAACAAGAGGAATAGTAAAAAACAGTCTTGGTTGCCACGGGAATAGGCATTAAAGTCCCCTGAAAGGCAGTTTAATGCGGAAAGAAAAAGATGAACTAAAGTCATCAAAAGGTGGCTTGATTGTAATCCTAAACACATCAAATAGTATTAATAATACTAATCAAAAACGTTCAGAGGTGAAATAATTGCCATTAAAAACATGATTTACCGCCAAAATAATATGCAATAATAAGAATTAAAGCCTCAAAAAGTTGATCTTATTATTATTATTAGTAGTAGTAGAAGGAGGAGAAGTAATAGTCATCGTATTTGCCCAAAAACATAATAATAATAATAATAATCATCATCATCATCATAATAAAGCGGCACAAATAGGAGACTTGGTCGCTTGAATAATAGGCATTAAAGTCCCCCAAAAGGCAAATTAATACCGGAACAAGAAAGATAAATTAAAGCGACGAAAAAATTAAAAAGGTATCTGTGCAGTGGAACAATAAAACAAATAAAATCAGAGCCCCCCAAACAGGGCCCAACAAGGTGTTTTGGTTGCAGTAATAGGAACTAAAGCCCCTCCAAAAGTCAAATTAGTTGCTGGAATAGTGTTAAGATCGGCTGCAAAAAGTTGATTTAGTTGCTGGAGTAATCAAAAGCAATCAAACCCCCAATAAGGCATTTTAGTTGCAGGAAATGAAAAGCCCCCAGACGATGGCTCGGGGCTGTCATAATAAGAGTAAGAAATAATGCACCTAAAAAAAAAAGCAACTTAGTTGACAGAAGAATATCAGTAAACCTCCCAAATTGGCTATTTAGTTTCCAAAATACTAATAAGAATTAAAGCCCCCAATAAGGAGACACAATTGCCCGAATGATAATGGTAAGAATTAAAGCCTCCCCCCACACCCCATGAAAAGGGTGATTTAGGTCCTTGCCGTGTTTCAAAACATAGGCTATTCTTTTGTGTGCGTGTGCCAGCAAGCTCGGGGAGCCACGAGTAACACGCGAGCGACCGCTCTTTTCTCATCCGCCCGTCAGACAAAAGCCTCTCGTGGCGATGAATCACGGCAGAAGGAATTCCGTCCCTCCCGAAAGCGGAACACCTGGACGGGCAATTCATCACGCACTTTACTGCCGCTTGACACCTGTGCGGGGAGAATAGCACTTAGTGCTAATGGTTATCGGAGTGTATATTTGCAAAAGACGGAAAATGTTTGGCATTCCGTCGTATAAAAACAAAACAGGAGAAAAAAAACGGCACGCACTTATTGCTCGACGTCGCATTGTTCTTGTGGATCAGGGCTCTCCTTAGTTGCTATTGACAGACCACAGTCAAAGCGCCACCAGAACGAAGACGTGGCGAAGGAAACATGAATGAGAGAGGAAGCGTTTCATCAATGGCGCAGAAGGGAGTTTGTTTACGAGGGAGCAATTATGGCAGGAATGTTTGCAAGGTGGCGAGGCCGGCAGCGCATGTTTGGACATTGTTGTCAAAACAATAGCCATGCCAAATGCAATTATGAGTATTGTTGGAAGAACATTTTGATTGCCGTGTAAAAACAACAACAAAAAAAAAACGTTGCAGGGAGTATCACGATATTTATTAGGGGAAAGGTGTTTACTGTGGTGAAGGCCTGCATTTGGATAAATACATTTTTTTGTTTTTTGTCCCACAGCTATATAATATGATTTATTCGAACATAGGCAATTATTTTTGAAATATCTGTAATATTTAAAGAAAAGGGAAAGAAAGCATTGGTGTAAGAGGGACTAGACTAATAGCATTCTGTGGCGGTGATTTCATTGTGACTCAAATGTAAAAAAAAAAAAAAAAAAAAGAAAGAAAAAAAGGAGTTGGATTTGGAGTGGCGTGTTTGTTTGGGCGTCAGTCACTGGCTCCAAGAGACGAGCATGTCATGTTAACATACAGCAGACAGGACAAATATTTGTGCCACTTTTAAAGAAATATTTTAAGTTTGTTTGTATCTAAAGTTGTACTTGATACTTGATCTTTACGTTTCGGTCACTATGAAACAATTCTTCATGCCACAGAATACAAATGGTTGTCTCTGGTCGTTCTTGGGTTAATGCCGTTTTCCATGTGCAAGATTCTAGAAAGTAGCCAGCTAGTTAATATATGGATGAGCCAATCGGCATATTGGGGAAAGCAAACGGTTTAGTTTCTGGCTAATGTAGCATAGCATAAAACATTAGCCTTCGCATAGACTGCCTTATTAGAAGGTTCCCCGCTTCGTGAAAAAAAAGGAATATGCTGAAGCGGCGCTGCGGTGGTCTTGATTGACAGAACCACAGCCTCGCCACCACACCATGCTCGGGTCTCACTCACGACGCGTTGTTACGGGGATTTTGGCAGCCCGCGAAGGCCTTCCAATCAAAACAAGTGGTGTGACATCACAGGCTTTGTTTCAAGCAGCGGCGAGGCTCCGTTTTCAGTTTATGATTAATATTGAAAAAGAGGACCGAACCACCAGTTTTGCAGTTTTGACTACAGGGAAATTGGATCTGCCAATCCTGGTGAGGAGGAGTGGGGGTCTTTTCAACTGAGAGGGGGATTAGAGGATAAAGACAAGATGGAACAGATGCTAGAGCAAGAAGAGTGAAAGCATGCAGATGGACACCATCGGAAAGCGTCTATTAGCCATACAGTCTTGCTAGTCAGCACGTGAAGCTAACTAGCTATACAGTCTCGCTAGTTAGCACGTGATGCTAACCATCTTCACTCACAGTTCCTTGTTGTCAACTTTAAATTAAACAAATGCGACTTTAATGCACAACGCAAGCTGCCTGATACCAGTTGAGAGGGAGCGAGGAAGCTGAATTTGCACAGACGCTAACAGCAGCTTCACTGTCTCATTGTTGCTACATTTGAATGGCGTATACAAGACAGATGCTTATTGCAAAATTGCTAAACGTCACTTGTTGTGGTTATGTGTGGCCGGAACATGGGGGCAAAATTTGATGATTCAGTCTTAATAGTGCACCGCAGAGTTTGATCAAATTCAGCCTCAAAGCCACTTTCCACTTAGAATCAGAATCGGTATCCTCAGTATTGGCCAAATATGTGAAAAAGAATTTGTCTCTCATAGTTTGAGCCACTATAGCATGACAGTAAACAAGCAAGCCATTTTTGCGTCATTCCAAGGGTCCCCCAAACTTGTCCAACACTTTTTCTCCAGTTGCTACCAAATCTGCGGCGGGTATACTCAACTCTTAACAACTCTCCTCGACAAGGTCAGCCTCCTCATCACTTCTTGAGCTTCAATTAGGGCCTGAATCATCGTGTTTATGTTTCTTCGGAAGAATGAATGGCCTTTTCAGGGGCCTCCACTTTTCCTTCTGGAAAAAAAATGGCCCAAACAACACTTTGACCAATCATCACAATATTATCTCACTCTTGAATTCGCCCAAACGAGATCCAATGAGAAGCAGCTTTCCAAGACTGTTCTTTTTTGCGTATCAATGTGGGCATAGAATGGCATAGAATGGCATCAAAATCATTTTGAGTATCCGCCATGAAATAGAAGCCTAAAAGAAATTTTTCCCCGAGTAACAACTTAATGTCAAATTGGGTGGACATGTCAATCATAATAGGAAGCACAAAAAAAGTCTCAAGGACCCATATACATGAAGTCGGCCATTTTAGTTTCAAGCAGCCATTTTGATTTGGCGGGAGCAGTCCATCAAAGTTTGATGATAATGTCGAGAATTCGGCATGAAAACGGCTTTACTTTTGAGTGGTTTCCACTCACAGCCGCCGTGGCAACCAAAGCTTATTTTGCACAAGCGCCACAACGTGGGTGTTCTAAAGATATAGTCCAGCAAGGACTTGGTGTTTGGATGCGAATTAAAGTGAAACAATTGCCTCAAACTGTGAGCAGGACGCTCTTGTTGAGTGACTTGTTGATGTATGATTTGGTGTGTGTGTGTGTGTGTGTGTGTGTGTGTGTGTGTGCGTGTGTGTGTGTGTGTGTGTGTGTGTGTGTGTGTGTGTGTGTGTGTGGGTGTGTGTGTGCGTGCGTGCGTGCGAGTGAGTGGGTGGCGGAACGAAAGAGGAAAAAGCCACCGACCGACACTAACAATCTATCGGTTTTGTTTTTTTTTTTCTTTACTTTTTTTTTTCTCGCAGCAGCTGTACGCCGCCCAGCTGGCGAGTATGCAGATCTCGCCGGGGGCCAAGATGGCGGCCGTCCCGCCAGGGGCGTCCAACGCTTCCGGTCCGCTGTCGCCCTCCGCCCTCAAGAGTGAGAAGCGAGCATCGAGTCCCCTTGTGAAGGTCAAGGTGAGTGTGAAAATCCACTTCTTTTGTCGTTTTACTTTTTCGATTACAATCAAATGTCATCTCACACACACACACAGACACACACACGCGGACTGAAAAAGTGACACTGGCGCTGGCTGCTGTTTGGCTGCAGGCCAGACCTCTTCACTGTTGAGAGAGCGCACGCCTCGTCTTTATTTGACGACCAAGCGCTATAATGGAAGCCACATGCGTGTGTGTGTGTGTGTGTGTGTGTGTGTGTGTGTGGGTGGGGGTGGGTGGGTG